ATGGGGGTCTCAGTGAGGACTTGCTAATGTGCTTTCACGGGAGCCCTGGCTATGGGGCAGGTCCTTGGTCCTTCCTAGCGGAAGGAATGGGTAGAAAAGAGGGCAGCATGGGGGGCAGCCAGGCCCCCAGGGTCGCAGACAAGAAAGGGATCGTCTGGGTACACTGGCTCCTGGGCCATAACAAGGTACGTAGTTGTGGGACCGAGCCCCAGTAGAAGCTCAAAGCCGGGGCACTGTGACGTCCAGGCTCCCAAACAGCCCTTGGACCAGAGAGGTCAAGCTGAGGGAAGGGGGCGGCCAGGGTTCCCGTGGCTCCCTCTCCCCGAGGGGGCGCCCCAGCCGGGCCTTGGAGCTGGCGGAAGCAGAGGGGGCGCCAGGCGGCGAGAAGAGGCCATGGGCGCGCGGGTCGGGACGCTTCTGCTCGCGCAACTGTTGGTGCGGGTCGAAATCGCGAGGCAGGGTGAGCTGAGGCGGGGGCTGCCGGCGCAGCTAGGGGTGATGGGGGAAGGGTGGGGCGCGTGGAGACCAAGGGGAGCTCACGTTCTCTCCTACTCGCAGCGTTGCGGGATAGGGACCTGTTGCTTCCAGGTAAGGCGTCCAGGGGGCGCGCTTCCCTGCGCAGGGCACCTGAGCCGGAGCGCGAAGGGCGACTCATCTTTTCCTCTTCCCGCCCCAGGTTTCGAGAACTCTTCTATGCTCGCATGTAACTGATGGGGCCCCCCCCGGGTGTGCGGTAGGGGCGGGCGCCTGTGGACCACGTGGGGCAGGTCCCCAGCGTCCCCTTCTTCCTGGGCGGCAAGACCCCTGGACGCGCGGTTCCCCGGGGCGCCCCTTTCCTTCTCCCACCCGGTGGGTGAGGGTGGACGGGGTGGGCCTGCCTCCCGCAGCTCAGCCTGATGTCCGTCTGTCCATCCCAGGGCCATGTGGCCAACGGACTGTCCCGACACGCATAGTGGGTGGAAAGGATGCAGAGCTTGGGCGCTGGCCGTGGCAGGGCAGCCTGCGCCTATGGGGCTCCCACTACTGCGGAGCAAGCCTGCTCAACCGCCGCTGGGTGCTCTCGGCCGCGCCCTGCTTCCAAAAATGAGTCTGGGGGCGGGCGGCCCGCTGACCCCGGGCCCTGGGTCTGCACCGGGACCTGCGCGCATGCCCCACGTGGACACGGCCCTCGTGTGCTCCTGAGGCGCAGCCCCGGCTGCAGCCCGTTACGCACCCACGCGAGTCCCCCAGGGCGCTCCGGGAGGAAACCCTGTGCGGTTTCTACCAGAACGTTCTCCCAGAACATTCCCACGCACATTTGTTTGTCTTGTTCTTTTCTTTCTCGCTTCACTTGTCCCCAAATGGCACCACCAACCTCCACCTTCCTCACCCCACCTCCCAGGAGAGGTGACCCCTCCCCCGCCCCACGCGGGGGGAGGAATGAGCTGAAGTAAGTGCTGGACACGGAGCCTGGCCTGTGGTGACAGTGGCCCCGGAAGCTGTTTTGAGCCCAGCCTGCTGTGGCGCCCGTGCACCTGCTCGTTGCCTTTTGAGAAGGGTTTTTGGAGTTGACAGGTGGTTGAGTGACTGGCCAGATGAGCTGGCAGGGGAGGCACCCTCCTGCCAACCCCCCCAAGCCCCCAGGTGTGGGACTTTGTTTGGGGCTGTCTGGGCTCTCCCCGTTTCTACCCTGGCCTCTTTGGTTGAAGGAAGACCTGCTAATGGTGCCTGGGGTGAGCCCCGCAGCAGCCCGGGGGTCTCAGCTCAGGGAGCAGCCCCAGGTGTGCTCAGGTGGCCCACCCTCCCTCTGAGGACCCCGATGGCTCTCTCCTCCCCTGCCAGCAACAGAGATCCCTACGAATGGTCGGTCCAGTTTGGCGAGCTGTGTGTTACACCACCCATTTGGATCCTGCGGGCCTACCTCCATCGTTACAGGGTGAAGAGTATTATTATATACCCCGAATCCAGGAAGTATTTGCAGGACGACAGCTCCCTGCTGAAGCTGTCCTCCTCTGTCACCTTCAATAAGCACATCCAGCCCGTCTGTGTCCTGTCCTCCTCTTCTGAGTTCAAGAACCGGGATGACTGCTGGGTGAATGGCTGGGGGGACATCCATGAGAAAAAGAGTGAGGTTGGGGACAGACGGGTGGGGAAGGGGAGTGTTATTCACCACGCTCTGTGCCAGCCACACCAGCTGCAGTGGCCCCCACCTTGGTCTGTGTGCCACTGTGCTTTGGCTTTGGCCCGCTGAGCAATCCCTCCTCACCTCCTTTCCACACCCCGCCCCCC